CCTGTCTGGAAATGGTTCATGTGACCCCTCTAAGAACTCCTCCCACTGTCCTCTACCAATCAGGATGGGTTTCACCCTGATAGGAACGCCCCGAGAGAAGATTTGACCAATCAAGGGGAGTTCCGGGGCAGGGTGACCTGTCTGGAAATGGTTTGTGTGACCCTTCTAAGAACTCCTGCCACCGCCCTCTACCAATCAGGAGGGGTTTCAACCGCTGGGGACCACCCCAAGAGATTTGACCAACTGGGGGGAGTTCCAGGGCGGGGTGACCTGTCTGGAAATGGTTCATGTGACTCCTCTAAGAACTCTTCCCACCGTCCTCTACCAATCAGGATGGGTTTCGCCCTGATAGGAAAGCCCCGAGAGAAGATTTGACCAATCAAGGGGAGTTCCGGGGCCGGGTGACCTGTCTGGAAGTGATTTGTGTGATTCCCTCTAAGAACTCTTGCCACCGCCCTCTACCAATCAGGAGGGGTTTCAGCCACTGGGGACCACCCCGAGAGGAGATTTGACCAACTGGGGGGAATTCCAGGGCGGGGTGACCTGTCTGGAAATGGTTCATGTGACTCCTCTAAGAACTCCTCCCACCGTCCTCTACCAATCAGGAGGGGTTTCAGCCACTAGGGACCACCTCGAGAGGAGATTTGACCAACTGGGGTGGGGAGTTCCGGGGCGGGGTGACCTGTCTGGAAATGGTTCATGTGACTCCTCTAAGAACTTCTCCCACCACCCTTTACCAATTGCGATGGGTTTTGGCTGCAGAGGACTGCCCCAAGAGGAGATTTGGCCAAAATAGGGCAGGTTCTTGGATGGGGTGAACTGCCCAGAAGAGGGTCATGCAACCCCTCTAAGGACTCCTCCCAATGCCCTCTGCCAATCAGAGTGCAGAGCCATCACCCCATAAGTCCCAGTACCGGGCAGAGGAGGCCATCTCTTATCAAGAAGACATGTTTTAGAAATTGTGGAAAGGCTGAGAGGAAACATGGACTCCTCTACCACCCCCGTGAGAACTTCAGACTTTGTTTTAGCCCCGAGGACCTTTGGACTTGTATGGAGAAAGTGCTACAGCAGTGACAGTTCTAAGGAGGGCCCTTTGACTCAACCATTGATAGATACTTTGGAACCCGACCCCGAAACCCAAACCAATGTGTGTGACGGCCTCTCATTGTCCATCCCCCTAAAGTTGGAAGAGGATCATGGCTTGGAGGAGTCACCAGCGGACAAGGTGAACAGGAAAGACATTGCTCAGGTAAATGAATGATTAAGAAGTGATGGTTGAACATGAGGATGTAATGGGGTTAGGAATCGACCTGGCATTGCATAAATCTAAAACCAAGCAGTGGGGTGCTTACACTGTTTTTTGTCTGAAAATTTCTCAACAGCTCGACGATGCCTTTCTAGAGGCCTTTGAGAACTTACACATCGGTAGCCCTGTGGGAGTAAATATATCATGCATCAGCTGTTTTTGCTCCTGTCTGAGACACAGATCTCAAGAGGAAAATCCAGAAAAGGACAAAATAGAAGAATGAACCAGATCAGAGTCCCTCATTGTAGGGGTCATGGCATCCATTTTTACAGGCGGCTGTAAAAAAAGTTGTGTTAAACCAGGCAATTAATAAAACTTATTTAAATGTGTCCATATGAATGTGTCCCCCTCCATACTTGTGTTAGTAAAAGATGGTACCGGGAACAGTCATGTCTCCACCTATGGCTCTGTTAAAGAAAATATATTACACCCCCAGAGAAGTTGGGAGCTTGGCGCGGTGAATCCTCTTTTTCAAGTGGCCAAAAAGCATAGCAAAACTTTAACTAGAAGACAGGTAACTGCTTGGCTTTCAGACCAGGATGCTTACACTTTACACAAACTGGCTCGAATACAGCTTCACAGGAAGGATCGGGGCTGATGTACATTAAAAGGAGGAAGAGAAAGAGAAATGTATCATACCTGCAACGCACAGGTCCCCCAATACCCTTTAAAAGAAGGGCTTTGATGCGCAGGGCCAGCCATAAGCGAAAGTCCAAGAGGAAGCCTGGGCGAAAGAGAAGACGCTCTCCGCCTGGTAAAAGAGATATTTTAATCAACATGGCTTTTGTTCACTGTGGGTCTGAAGAGTGCACCAAATCCGAACTAGACTTGTTTCAAATAGCCCCTACCCAGACCAGCATTGAGAAAAGCATCTACATCGAGGTGCCGCCTCTATCGGCTGTTACGGAGTCTGCCCCCATTGATGTTTTTATAACAGCGAATGGCATCGATTATATGGATTTAAACAACACGCTGCTGTATCTATGTTGCAAGATTGTAAAAGGAGACGGAACTGAACTCGCCATGGACGCCGAAGTGGGCCTGGTGAATTACCCTGTGGCCTCTGTTTTCAGTCAGTTGGATGTCACGCTTGTAAGCCAAAGCAACAACTGTTACCCTTACAGGGCCTTTATAGAATCGGTGCTCAATTACAGCGATGACACCCTTGACACGCAATTTTCCGCTGGCCTGTTTTACAAAGATGCTACCGGACAACACAAAGAAACAGAGTTGGATGACGGGAATCTAGGGTTTGTGAGGCTTGCAAAGCTGACGGCCCAGAGCAGGACGGTAGAGCTGCTGGGTCATCTACACAGCGACCTGTTTTTTTCAAGAAAACCTTTTCTTGAGTGGAGTGGATGTGAAAATTAATCTGACGCACAGTAAAGACGCCTTCTGTTTAATGGGCAGTGCAGGCGAAGGCTTTAAATTGCGTATTGTATCAGCATCCCTTTTTGTGAAAAGGGTACGGGTGGCCACTAGCATTCGTCTGGGGCATGCAGAGGCCCTGCTTACCCCTAATGCTAAATATCCCGTGGACCGTGTGGGAATGAAAGTGTTTAGCAACCCCGCCAGCAGCGGGGTCAGTAACCAGGAGAACCTGTTTTGGGGACAGTAACCCAAAGTGCTTGTCCTAGCGTTTGTGGATAATGATGCCTTTAGCGGAAGTTACTCTACAAATCCCTTTCATTTTAAACATTATATTAATTTTGTGGCCTTGTACGTAGATGGTGAACAGATACCAACCAAGCCTCTGCAACCAGACTTGGAGGCAGGACGCTGCATGAGAGAATACATGAATCTGGTACAGACAGCTGGTAAACATGTGAAAGGTCGTTCTCTGTTAATCGACCGTGAGGAGTTTGCACAGGGTTACACCTTGTTTGCCTTTGACCCGTCTCCTGATCAGGAATGCGCCGATCAGTATTCCCTGATTAAAACCGGGAACCTGAGAGCAGAAATATGTTTTGGGAAGGCTTTAACCGTCCCCGTCAATATGATCATGTATGGAATTTTTTTCAGGAGTAGCAGCCGTGTTAGTCTGTATCCGCAAAAAGAACAGGAGTACTTGTGGCACATTTGTTAGTCTCTAAGGTGCCACAAGTACTCCTGTTCTTTATGGGATTTTTGACAACGTCATAGAGATAAATCAGAGGAGAAACGTTCTGTTTGACTATATGTGAACATGGACACCGTGCAGCTCTCACGTGTCTTATCAACGGCCCCTTACACGAAAAAGAATTTCTTAGATGTGTTCCTTTGCGATTGGCTCCCTGGCGGCAAGCTGTCTCAGAAACCCTTAGGTTTGGTGGTCAACACGCATCCACACAACCAACCTGGTGAACACTGGCTCACCTTGTATCTGGCGGAGCGTAACCGTGGAGAGTTTTTTGACTCATACGGTCACCCCCCAAACAGTGTGTTGTTTCCTAAAAGCATTATGAAATTTTTAAACAAAAATGCCACAGACCTTGTGTTTCACAATAGACAATTACAAGGCCCCTGCTCTGTCGCCTGCGGCTATCACTGCATGTTTTTCTTACATCATCGTAGCAAGGGTTTCTCTTTTGACCGGATTTTAAAATTCTATTCTAATGACTTTAGTGCAAAACGACTGGATGGTGATGAATTCTGTAAAAACTAAATTTAAATTCTTGGGCATGCCTAGCCTTGCTCAAAACATGTTTCAACAAGCCCAGACATGCGTATCTTGCAATGATTTCGATAG